AGTTAAAACGCTTTATTTGAAAGCTGAACATTGTTCAGAAACAAACAATAAATGTGATTGCGTGAATATAAAAATTATGAACACTTGAGTTAGGATAGAAGAAATAGTTTTGAAAATTATCCTCTTTTATGTTTTGTGCATTGGTCCGTTCAAGGCAGACTAGAAAAGAATTCATCAAAACTTTTTCAAAGTCCTTAAATAAAATTGTACCTATTATTAGTTTCGTGGGTCTATCTTTTTTTTCCCAAGCATTGAAATAAAAAAATACTCTTTTTAATTTGATTTTTTGATCTGAAGTCCTGTTTCATTTGATGTAGGGCAGGATTGTAAATATTAAAACTAGTTAAGTGTAAGAATAACATTGTATAGGTGCTCTAGGTTTCATGGGGTAACCCCGCATTACTCCGTCAGTTATCAGTAACGCGTGAGAGAGAAAGTACCTTGGGGTGAGATAAATGAATTAATTATTAAATGTGAAGTTGAATATTTAACATTTAGGGCAGAAGTCATCCTTTGTTAAGTAATTTCTTTACCTTCTAGCTGTATAAACTAGTGAAGGAAAATCGCGACCACCTGAAAGACGAAACTCTCGGAACGTCTCGCTCAGCTGCCATATTCATCAAACTGTTGAATGTTGCAAGAGGATCGAGAATGGAAGATATTTACAAAGTGCTGAAGAGCTCAAAGAACAAGGACATTTTGTACGTACTATTCAGTGAGATTGAATATAAAAAGAAAATATTTGCATTAAGATTTCTTTCCAGAACTTGCTGTTTAATTACGACAGGGTCTTGACCTAAGACACCGCAGTAAGGAAATTAGAACGAGTTTGGTTTTTTTTAGGTTGCAGCTGTGTGATTTGGTCGGGGCAACACAGACGGTGGCGGCACATGAGGCTGCGAGGAAATTCCTCCGTCTAGACTCCGAATCAGACCTAGATGTTAATGAACGGTACTTCTGGGCTCTCTCGATGGGCTCACACCCAGAACTTCAGGTTATCAAAGGTGACTGTTTCTGTGCCATTTATGATGACGTTACAGATGAGATAGAATAGATGGTTTGCCAGTATATGTACGAATCATACGCTAACGAAGCTTGGAGATGGTTTTCATCCATTTCAACTTCTTTTTTGCTGCATAACCTTTGTTAGTACAAAATGCCATGGCTGCATAAATAAATTTGATTTATAAGTAATTTGAAACATATTTTGAGGTACCACACCAGTATCGTACCACAAGAAGTCTGCTGCGAGACAGACGAGCATGAACTACTACGTTTACTAGTTCATATTGTTTTCTTCTAACTCACCCTTCCGCTTCTGCACTTTTCAAACTTATTTCTGCTAATCTCTACACTTCTCTTTCCTTCTGTCCTCTGCTCAACATTCTTCACCCCCTTACCCTTGTTTCCTGATAACGTATCCTAACCTAACCTAGGTTAACCACTTGGGTTGTGTAGTGTTTGGTTAATTGACATTATGTCGGGATAGAAATGTTTGGTTAGGTTGGATTAGGTTAGGTTATATTTTATTAGCTTGGTACATTTTGGGTTTGGTTGCGTATATTAACTGGTATCGACCTCTCCGCGCCTGGCACCCAGATAGTGTCAGTCGCTATGCTCGGAGTCTGTTTCATCGAGTTTTTGTAGTAACACTGACACGTATCTCTAATATTCCGAAACTTCTGCTTGTTGTGACGCTTGGCGTCTCTTCCAGAAACGTGCCGCATCTGTTTCCAAGTCTACTGTTAGCTTCAGTTGCATTTCGAGGTCATCGTCCTGTCTATCCTCATGTTACACTTAAATTGCTGGGGTGCGATGTGTTTGGAACAGGGTTAGTCAGAATAAGTCCATCACCTCTCCTTGCGTCTTCTTCCCAACGGACTTCTCACGATCCATGCAGAGTACTTGCGTTTGACTACTTAAATGGGGAACACACCATGACAGACTTCAGACTGCGTTTCAACTTGGAAAATTTTAACTGTGTAATTCTCATGTATGAGCTTTAGAACAGCGTGGGATTATTGCCATGTGATTTCGCTCACAAATAGTAAGGTCGTCTTTGTCTCTTGGAAGTACAGAGATTCTTACCATTTTGGTACCTATAGTTTTTACAAACAGTACGTAAATTTGCATTGCGTTTTTCACGTACTCTGACTGTGTGTGTGCTGTGTCCACAGATGTCCTGAAACTAACATACAAGGATTTCCCAGAGAAGTTGTCGGAAACTCTGTTGTTGACTGTTGCAGCTCTAACTAACCGATTCATGAAGCTTCCAGGAAATAGCCAACTGAAGGTGAGGGTCATCATTGTTCCCAATTAATATGGTTGCATTACAGTTTTAAAACAGTTGTTTTGCATTAATTATGAATAATTAATTAACTAACTCTGTGGGAGCAGAACCTGTGGCCAGGTATTCTGTCGGACATGTTCCCTGAAATAATTTCATTCAGATCCAATTCTCAAAGTGTGATAACCTAAATATTATCGAATCTCTTTATTTCCCCAAATGGTTGCTTTCCAAAAATTTCACAACAAAAACTTGAATATAATTCTTGTATCCCCGTTCAGGTACCAATACAAAGAATTTATAGGGTCTAGACTTTATTTTTGTGCAGATAATTGGAGAAGTAAAGGTGTCGTTGGTGGATGGGCTTTCTGGATGTGCTAACGAAGAGTGCAAGCAGAAGTACTTACGTGCCTTAAGAAACCTGGGGCTGAAAGAGACGGTGCCTGTATTGCTGCGGCACGCCCTGTACGGAACGAAGAAGACGAGTGTTACGGCGATGAAGGCCTTGCGATCAATGCCACCTAGTAGCTGGGACGATGAGGTGGAGAAAGCAGCCGCGCGGATATATTACCAGATAGGAAAGAGATTTGACTCTAGTGCCAGAACTTTGGCTGCAGACATTTTACTGGAATCTAATCCAAGCCGCGAGGTTCTTCGAGAACTACTGTTATCTCTGGCTTCGAGAGTAGATCCAGTTCATGAGGTAAGTGAAGTGCTTCCAGGTATGATCTTTCGTTGCTAAACAGGTCGAGGGTAGGGATTGATGGTTGGCAGAATGACGTGTAACTTCGACATTTTTCTACCGGGATAACTTGATGTCCGTCTCCTATACCCGCTGGCCACGTTCGTAAAGACAGGCCAACGAAACGAAGTTATGCCGCAGTTGCTAGATTTTTGTTTTACCGTAAATAACTAAATTATGTTTGTTTTCTTAAGTGTTTTTAATTTCTGAATAAAAGAGTTTATTGGGATGCTGAAATTGGTAACATTGCTTCTCAGGTGCGACAATATGTACTGCAGAGGGTTCATCAGATGAGTGACAAGGATCCAAATTTTGGAGCCCAAGTGATGTCGATAATACGGGAAGAACACAAAAAACTGAACAATTACAATGGGATGGTTCAACGAGGGCTGTCCACTGCTTTCACGCGGTCATTCCTCTCCAGTCCAAGTGGGAATGGCAGCTTGGTGACAGTTCAGGAAATAGCTGGTGGGCTTCTCAAGAGGGGTCGCGTTGATGTGGTCTTGGACAAACAGGGGTCATCGCAGGAAATCTTCACAGTAAGTCGCATTTATAAATTAACATGTGAAACGGAGAAAGAAAGATGGAAAACATAAAAACGCACCACTTAGGAAAGTTAGATTAATTAAATAAATTAGAGGATGCATTAAAATTCATCTTAAGGAAACAAGTTTGAATATTTTCCATGGGTTGAACTGACTCAGGGTGGGCTTTGGGATGACCATAAATGCCAGGTTCTATAAGAACAAGGAAGCCGTTGTGTGATATCCATCGTGTTGGGTTTCTTCTTCTAAGAACAAGGAAGCCGTTGTGTGATATGCATCGTGTTGGATTTCTTCTTTGCTTGGGCCGGATTGTATCTGTCAATTTATGTAACGTGGCAAGCGCCGTCATCGGCAAGCGAGTCAAACCCAAAAGCCAATACAATACAAAAATCTCTTGATCAGATTAGAAACTGACAACTGTTCAAGGAGTACTTATGTTATTGTTGGCTATTTTTTAAAATAATTTTTGCATTTAGTTAGTCAGCAAATTAACGAGTGTTGCCTGCAGCTGGGGCTGTTTGCTGGAGGTCTGAGTTCATTCATATCATCTGATGAGGAACCATCCGATTCAGAAGAAGCAGAGGAGCCTGCCACTGCGGGCATGGAGATAACAGCGCTGGGAATTCAAGTGCGGCCATTTGTGTTCTTCAGCGGACAGGGCGAACTCATGGGGCATGTCTGGTCAGGAACTGGATCGGAGAAAACACCGGCCTTTCAGGTGAGCGAAGGATCGGTGCAGAGACTGAATACTGGTTATCAGGTGGAAAGTCTTGTGAGATACCTCAAATTTACATACTTAAAAATAATGATATTAGGAGAATGTTTATGACCATGTATATGTGTGTGTGCATAAATTGTAACCAATGCCATGGTAATATTTTCAGGGATTTTCAGTCGTAAGGTTTGTGTGACTGACTGTTGAACCACTGCCTCTCAGATTGGCCAACGATTGGCATAATCCATACACTTTCTTATGTGTTTAGTTCTTGGTTGTTGTCTCACTAGAAAACTGCCCGTCAAGAGCGACCGGAAAATCAGAAGTAGCAAACGCACATTCTTAAATATTACGTCATAAGGCCCAGAATCCCTTAACGGAAAACGATCACAAACCAACCTTCCATCACATGTTTGTTATAGAGATAGATTTACTTCCCGATTACAGTACTTTTGTAAATGTGTGAAAGAACTTCTGCCACATTTCAGGATCAGATATAACTGTGCTAGTTCACATTTTCGCTAGTGTGCATAAAAAAAATATGTATTTGTATTTGCCGTCTTTTTTCAGGTTGTCCGTACTGTAGTTTCTTTAAGCTTGAGCAATCTTGAAGTTATTTTAGAATCTTATATATAAAGATATTTTGGAATCCCTCGAGGAAATAATTAAAATGTCAGCTTCGGTAATTCTGCAGGTAGCGATGAACGACGGCACATACGGGCCTCAGCACACTCTTCAGTAACATTATAATGTAATGTTTATATTAATTAGATGCTTTTATTTCAGACACTGGCACTGCTGCAAGACCATCTGCAATACCTGCCCCTTCAATCTGGATTCATCGCTGAATTAAACCTGATGGGGGTTGTGTCATTTGATCTGTCAGGACAGATTCAGCTCAGCTTATGGAACAGAAATGCACATTCACTTGTTGAGAAAAAGTATGTTTAGTTCATTGCAGTAGCTCAAGACACTTCCTCATACAAAGCTTGCGACCAACCCCCAACCTGGAGGAACAGGGTACCTGTCTTAGTCTGACCTCTCCCCCTCGACCAATCTGGATAGGGAGCCCCTACCAGTAGCTCTTGGGGTCACTGAGGTGCTCAAGCCCCACCACCACGACAAGGTGCAGGTACCATTAAGTGGGCCGCAAGGCTAACAACCTTGAATCGTAAAAAGGAAGATGGAAATTGAATTTCAGAGACTCCAGCAAGCATGCTTCCTGACATTAAAAATTTCCGAAGAACCCTGAATTTGTAGGTGATACATTCCTCTGAGACATTGAAAACCATCTACAAGATCACACATTGTCATAACTGAGGTCACAATTGATATTTGTTAGAGTCTCTGATATCTTTTAAAATCTGAACATTTTGTCTTTTCATGATTACAATGCTGTACTCCCTCTGTATGATATATGTAAAATGCTAACATCATTTTGTATCAACTGTGCTGTCAATCTCTGTCACCCGAGTGTCGCTGTCCAGCTGGCTGTATGTCACACTTGCGTACCACTAAACCCTTAACCTCGGAGTTGAAGTCCAGCCAGCAGCCCCATAGCATGGGAATTTAAATCCCATGTTGCGCGACAAGAATACAAAGAGAATGTTACTGACGTCTTGAATTAAAGAACATGGAAATCGTAAGATGAAAATTCATTCTGTACAAAGGTGGAGTAATACCAACTTTTTTGATTGTTTGTATAGATTCTAATATTGACAGTCTGTTGACATTTCCTGTGAGCCTATGATCAGATTTAAATATCTAATGTGCGAGGGAAACGTAACGTAAAATATCCGTACTTTGTACAGATGCTTGGACAGATCATGTTGAAATAGGAATTGACCCGTATATTCCAACGGAAGAATTGGTATTATAAAGTAGTGTGTAATACTTGTTTGTTGCAGCGCTGGAATCACGATAACAGGGATAATGAGGGTTGACTCGTCATTTGTGAGGAGTCAAGTGGAGTTCAACATAGCAACAGAGGCCAGACTGAACCTGGTGTCAGATATTGATTTTTACAGCAACGTTGCTCTCTGCCTTCAATTACGATCTCCAGATTCAGTGGTTAAGTGAGTACTGAATTGATATTTAATGGCTGACACATTTTAATTTCTTAATCAGCTGAATACGTATCACTTGTTCGACAATTTGTATCATGGAGTCGGTCTAATAAAAAAGATCATGTATTAATGTTGCAGACACAACATCTACAAGGTGGAGCGGATCCCTGGCAGTAAACACCGATTACGAAAGGCAAAGTACAGAGTTTCGAAAGTCCCTGGCAAGACGTATGCCCTCAACAGGAAGAACAATGAAATGTGCAATGTTATATTCAAGGAATGAGTTGATGTGAACTGTACAGTGCATTAAAACTACTATGTTGAATTACAGCATGACAAACAAACTGATTGTGTCTCGTCAGGCCACAAAGCAGTTGTTGATGTGTACGAACAGTCTTTGATGGTGCACTCTCTGATTCTCCTGCCAATAATTTATCTACGTGTATTTTTTGTACATAATTGATGCTCAACAAACATTCCTTGTTTACAGGTATTTTTATTTTTGTTTTAATTTTAAAGCGCCCGAGAAACGTCGAGGGGGAACAACTATTTTGCCACATACATTTCTCTGTATTTGCTGAAATACATGTGCAATTCTTCCTCTAGATGCCAAGAAAAAAGTGACTTTACATTATATTTGTGAACATTCAATTCCATTAGGTTATAACCATAAATTGTCACTGAAAATTCCATAAGTTTGTTAAATTTCTTATATCTTGCCATGGGTGGTGGTGTACGTGGATATGTACACACTAAAAATAGTGAAACGGACTTGGGGATGTGGGCTAGATTAATTTAGTTCATAAGGAACAGTTGTGGGGTTTTGTGAATGTGGGAATGAATCTTGGGTGCCATGAAAAATGGGGAATTTCTTGACTTGCTTAGCCCATATTAGCTTTTCAAGTTGAACTCTGCTTAATGGGGTTGGTTTTAATTATTTAATGTACACAGATATTTTTCCCCATATTGAGTGCATTTGTATTTTACTGACAAAGTGGTCTCGGTGGTAGACTGGTTGATCAAAATGATGTTGATTTGGAGTTACGTTCTTCAATTGGAGAAACAACAAAATAGAAAAGTAATATAAAAACAGTGGAAAGTGAAAAATTATGTGTCATTTTCAAAGCATAATATTTTATTAATTACAGATTCATTACACAATAATTTTCAAATTTGATGAGGATTACTATTATAACAAGGAAAAAAGTAAGTAGAAATGTAAGATGTATATATAGTGCATTCATCAAAGGAAGATGAAAGAAGAATGGCTGAATTTTTATTTTAATTGACATAACTAATACCCATGCATAAAAAGTGGTTAGACTGCACAGGTGGTAAAATGAGATTAAGGTAAGTGAGTGGCCACTGTGTATATAATGTAGGTTAAAGTCTTGAATACAGAAGCACAGCAATAGGAAGTGTTATATAGTAGCAAGTAGGGTAAGGTAGGCTACTGGAGGTAATATACTGTACTTCATGACCACTGGTGGGTTTTTGGTGTTGTAACGTCATTTACGTGTCTTCGTATGCCAAGAATTTACTGAAAAGGAATTCTTATAACGATTTTGTGTCCAACATGCCGTGACCGTGTTGAATTTTCGGAAATACGAAGACGACAGAAAATAGACTAAAAATGGGTTGCTATATTCCATTTACTATATTAAGCAATAACTGATGTTAATTATTTTATTTTCAGTATGATTAGAGTTTGGAAAACAGAACTTCGACATTATTTTTTATCACATGTTAAAAACAAGTGCACTCATCATCGTATGCGACGCTTTAGTTGTGTGTAGTGGCTTGTAGTCTGTGATTTCATGGCAGTGTACTGCGAAGCTAGAGTACTTTTTATTTGTTATCAACATCTGTAGTGGTAGCAGTGTTTGGCTGGTGAAAATGTCGACTGTTTTGTATCTCCAAGTGAAGTTTTCGTGATCTAACAATACAGAATCATACTTGTAAAAGTAAAGTTTCTGGTTCCTCCCTTTCCCTAACGCTTTCTCAAGGGAATAATAATTTACCGAATCAATCAAATGAGAAAGGATCACGTTAATGGTTTCAGAAACAGCCATAATATGTGGGTTTGTTTGGTACCGAAAACGTAGTCTGCATTGTAACCTCAAAACTTAACCTAACCAGGAAGATTTCGGTCTCAGTGTTCGTGAGCAAGTTATTTTTGTAGATTTTTAAAAGTTACAGATACAACAGGTTAGTAAGGTACATTTTAAGTTTAATAACTGTAGTACCAAAATTTATTTACTAGTTGAAGTTTGGTAAATTGTATTGATTTGTGTTTGATACAGTAAAGAATTTCTAGACAGGATTAAAATGGCCATGTCCCTTTCACAGAACTAGATGACAATTTATATTTAAAATGATAGTGAAAGGTGTGTTTGAAAGCTTTATTTTTCTTTTATGTAAAGGCTTCACAGACAGGCAAATAATTTGATAAAAATTCTTGAAGTGACATCTTTTCACTTTTTATGGTTACTTTCTTTTATGGAATTGTTTTACAGTTCAGTATGGATTCAGTCAAAGAGGAATTACATTCAGACAGTGAGGGCTGCCCCATGGTCTTACCTTCTGAAGAAATTTCCTTTGTTATGAAACATGAATTGCTCCTTGACCCTGAAGCAGTCCCTCTAACAGATAACACAAATATGGTGAGATTGTTGAAGTTTTTTTTATTAATTGCATATCATATTGTATTTAATTAATCATATTCTATATTTAATTCGTAAGCTTTCACATAAATGTAGGGAATGTTGCCAGGAAAAAGATGAAAGTATAAGATTACTTCTTTTTTTCTTTACTTTGTTTGGAACTTATGTAAAGTTGCATCTTTGTGGCTGTGCGAAAATCACGTAAGTTAGCAACAAATGGAATTGTCATTCTAAATTACAGTAATCTTGATATATTGCATTTTAAATTTTGTAATTTCACTGATAGGGGTTTTCGGCTCTGTTCCACTAAATGCGTGAAAAATAATTAACAGAACAGGAATTCACCTCTGAGATGTATTTTGATATTATTTATAACACACAGACATGGGTTTGTTTATTCTTTTTGCTGTGTTACAGGATGACACATGGAATTCTGATATCGTCAAACAGGAAACGGAAGATGAATTAGCTGCAGAGAAAAATGAAGTAATTATGGGCAAGTAAGTTTCTCTTTAACTCAGTCACTTAATTTGGCTCCTGTTTTATGACCTGTCTACTGCGGTGAAATTAATATGTAGTTGTTCTGCCGTTGTCTGTTTAAGCAGGCTGATTTGCTGTTTATTTTGAGCTGTCTCTCTAGAATGTGAATTGTCTAGAGCAAGTACAAGTACAAAATTCTTTAAGGACTTCAAAGTAGGGATTAACATTCAGCTGGACTACATGATACATGACCAATAAAGGTTAATGGATTAACTTCAGCCTCTGAGATGGAGACAGTATCTTTCTATGAAACATTGGCGTCTACCATTGAGCACTGCCCAGCATCACAGCCCTAAAGAACATCAGCAGGGTTGATGGATAATTACGTTCAATTTCTGCAATGGAATGAATGAATAGTATTATGTTACTATTCTAAAATATTCAGTTTTCCTTCAGTTGAGCAGGTTTATGATTAGGTATGCCTTAACACCTTTCTTGATTAAGTTGTAAAATCCACTATTTTTTTGGCCGTGGTTAGTGCCAGATCTATAATGCTGATAAATATACTGAATTTTATGTTGCAGTGGTTAACTCTTTAACCACTGTCGGCTTGCATTTGTGGTAAGTATTATAGAAGTATCCATTTTTTTTCTTCAGTGCTGTATGTCGTCTTTATAAGTCATTCAGGATTTATATTATGGCCCACTGTAATGTAATTCGAAGTTTGAAGCGGTCTTAAATACTTGGCTGCGAGCAATTTCAAGCCAATTATTCCCCATTTTCCTTGTGAATGATTTAAACATTAACCTGCTATGTTTTTCTCAGTTGATAAGTTCTGAAAGTAGCAGGAAGTTCAAAACAAGATTTCCCGTCATGACAGTACTGTAACTCACATTCACAGCGATAATAAACCTTTTATCTTTGAAATTTGTAATAAAATTTATAAATGGAAGTCATACAGGATGGAAAATATACATATGTAATGTGTGTAACAATAGTTTCTGTGTTAAACCTGCTCTTACACAAGCATCATTGAGTAACCTCAAAATGCATTATGACATTCATGCAGGAGACAAACTGTTCACATGTAATTTGTACAGTAACAAGGTTTTACAAAAGATCCTGTGAAATATATTTATCGTATTCACACGTGTCGTGTATCTGTGATGTTTGCAGCAAATGTTCCTCTGATGGCTCGAAATTAAAGGTAAGTTTTCTTGTTCTTGCTGGGAAGTTTTACAAATATTAAATGTACAGGAAGGATTTTAGTAGGGCTTGGAGTCGTACTATTCACGTGCACATTTGGAATAAGACCGTCTGTGTGTGAAGTGTATGAGCCACAATGACGCTCACCAAACATTTTCTCTCCAAAATTTGCGTTGAAATCCTCCTTTTTTTTGGCCATACAGATAAATGTAATACACGTGATAAAGTGTTTTGAAGACGGGACATATTAAGAAAACATTTTGGTCGTAATGGTGTAGCGTGTTTGATTTATAAGAGAGTTTTTATTTGCAATATGAAATAGATTATAAAATTGTGAGGTTAGAACTAATTACTGTGATACCAACATAATATAAAGAAGTGAAATGTAAGTAGACATTATTTGCTTGAACTGATTCTTCACTCACACAAAATTCGTGCCCTGTTATTACAAGGTTATGTGAAATGACTTTATCTATTTGCCGCATGACAGGAATTTCAGATAGAGTTATTTTGTTGCAGTTGTAATGGAATTTCTTCTATTTTGTGATTAATTCAAGGGGTCAACTTGTCTTTATTTGTGTTATAATGTTATCTTTTATGGTGGGAATTAGGATCAGATATTGAATAATTGAATGATTGAAGGAGGTTTGTCCACTGCATCATAGCCAGAGTATCAAATATTTATCTCTTTTTTTGAGCCAAATACTAGAACAAATGGAGACATTGATCCTTACCTGAACTTATATCTGCTGAAAGGACTTAATACTAATTGATTTGGCACAGTGGTAACAACTGATTCAGGTTCTGGAGGCACCTGATTTGTTTACCTTTTATGAACTGACTGACTTGACTCAATGGTTTGAGGTCTCACAGTAGTGAAGGTGTCAAGAGTAGGTGGATACCTACAAGTCCACATGACATTAAAGCCCAGAAGATCAACAATGGTATCTTGACTGAAGTTCTTCATAGTATTCATCATTCCCTACAGATGAATGCTGGTCTTAAAATAGGCCACAGCCTTTCGAGCAATGTTGTATCATAACTATTATAGGGAGTCAGTATTGCATTTGGTATCATGATCAGCAGTTGGTATGGTGTCATGAAATAAGTAGGAGTCCAGTTAGTCAAAAGCAATATACTGGGTTATGTCACTGACGTAAACAAACTGTGGACTGTAAAATAAGCAAACGAACTATTAACACTATAATAAAAAGGCACTAGTGCCATACGTGTTTCAACCTCAAGAGGTCATCATCAGTGGCAACAGGGAAATTAATTCATTTAATAAAAATGGTTTAAAATTGGTCTAAATATGGTTTAGAAAACAAATTATGAAGTGGAATATTTTACAAAAGCATATCACGCAACGCTACATTAGATGTTGGTTTCACAGGAGTTGAACTCTGCACTTAGCTGTTGATCCGATGTTCTTATGCATTACATTTGAAATAGTAATTTTAATTACATAGTAAAACAATGAAAATCAACAACGTTGAATTTGTGTGACCATATTTACACTTCTCAATGCAAGTAATTTCAACATTTATTTCCGAGGGTATCATTACTGGTAGTACAATTAAGTCATAAATATGAAACAGAAACAGCAAGATTTCAATTCCACTGCTGCTGAATAGTTCTGTCATGCTGCAGTCAAGAAGGCTTAGTCTCGATTGAAGAAATTGATCTTTATGTCACTCTGTGGCAATGTTAAGTGATTTCTTGGTTAGTTAGCATTGAAATATTTGTATAAAATAAATCAGCACTGGAAGAGCCACTACAGAACCCACAAATTTAGCAGTGAAAAGGTTAGGTTAGGTTCACTGAATTTAACTTGGTTATTTTATATAAAAAGTCTATAGTTATCATTTGAAATATTGCATAATTGATGCTGAGATTTTAAACATATCCTCTCTTGGGAGTTAATCATCAAAAGTATTCTCTTGTTAAAAGCTATAGTTTTCAGAATAGGAATATCATCTTTATGTATGCTGAGCTGGTTCAGTCCAATTAATAACTGTTATCCACCACATAATTCACCTTAATGTAGTCATGTGATCATTTTCTTTTGTGCGTGTCACACTACAGATTTTTGATTATAAAAAAATTCTGATACGGATTACTAATTTCATGTTATGAATAATTTTTTTTAATGTTTTTGTATGTTTTTACTTTGTTTAAGAAGGAATTTAGAATTTTTCATATATAATAAATAAAAGTGTAGCAAAAATTTCTACCATTATGTAATTTCAGGAAGTTGAAGATGCTGATGAAATAAAAATTACAGGTTATGATGACATTCAAAAATCATATTTAATTGTGATGATATTCATTTGTAATTACCTGAATAAAGTTCCCTTGTTTGTATATCAAAAATAATATTCTGAATGGATCTTTTTGCTTCTAAAATATTTTTAGGGCTTTTAATTTGTTTCATTTCTGAAATAATAAACTGTCCAAACTTTTCAATGTGGTCATCAACAGAAGCAGATCTTGGCAGACATAGCTGCGCGCCTTCTAGAACTTCCAGATCCAGTTTGTTTTCTTCATTCTTAGTGCCATCTAAGGTAATTTCCTCATTTTCTTGTATAAATACTTGGTCGAATGAGGTTACTGTCTCAGGGTCCTGAAAGAAAATACAATGTAAATGCTTTGCAAACATTTTTGACTGCAGTGACAATTTAAGTTTAATTAATTCAAGGTACATAACCTTATATTTCCTAATATTCTACTCCTCTATTTTGTGCAAAAAAATTCATACTTCTGAAAACACATTTTTATTATTTATCACAGCAGTGAAGATGTCAGTGTTGGTATTCTGGGTTATAATGCGGTGTGAAACCCAACGTTTTGGAGAAACATACTGCCTCCATCTTCTGGGCTTACCTACAAGTACACATCGTATTACAACCAAGAAGGCCAACACTTCAGTATTAACATTTAACCCTAAGCCAATAAGAAGAGCTTATTAGTGTTTAATTTTTGAGCCTAAGTGAGTTTCATGCGACATTGCGAAAACTGGATGATAAAAAAGGTTTTGGAATTATTAGCTTCATCATCTTTGAATGTGATGTTATTGTGATGTTTTAAAAAAATTGAATTTTTACTGATTTTTTTAAAAAAATTTGGGCCATCTGTATCAACCAAAGGAAGCAGACCACGTGTTATCTTCATAATTCGTTCATGGGATATGACGAATGTCTTTTACAACAATAAAAGGTGGCACGTCTTGTGTAAATAATTTTATGTTTGTCACTGGTGCTTTGTTTAAACTTACAGTTAATTTTTTGTTGATAAGTGAAGAAAATTCAATATCAGTTGATCTTGAATCTTTCGGTGATGCGTGAGAAGCTGGCAGTTGAACTGAAGTTGTGGGTTGTGAAGTGGACGATTGAGCTGATGATATCGAAGATAGTAACACCACAGTTGGATGGTTAGAAGTTAAGTGTTTCTTTAAATTTGAAGTTGTCGACTTATAAGATAGTTTTCGTTTGCACACGTTACATATTGCGACAGAGTGACCTTCAATAGTAGTAAAGAAATTCCATAACTTGCTGTGTTTCTGCCGTTTCGATGACTGAGCCATGCTCGCTGAATCACAGACTTGCACTGAAGCTGTAATCAGAACTGAAATAAATTCAGCATAAAAAAATTATGGAATGCAGTTTGTCAAAATGAATATTATCAACAGTGTGAAAGCAGCAGGTTTGTAAGTGTACTGACAAATGAAGAATCTGGTAGGTAGACTATGTGCTAAAAGCCTAGCAAAGAAGAAACAAACAAATCAGTATCAATATTTTCGGAAATTTAAAATGTACTGAAGTGAGGAGAGAGAGAAAGAAATCAGTATCAATATTTTCGGAAATTTCAAATGTACTAAAGTGAGGCAAGAGAGAAATGAAATGATTGGAGACGAGCGTGCCTTCTATTCCACTGTTGTCAGTTGTGGTTCTCCAGGAAATAATTGGTTGAGAGCTATTGGCCAGCGAAATCTAAACAATGACTCCAGTAACCATTACAAGGCAGTTACAGTTCCAGTGATTCAAATAACTCCAATGAGTACCTGATTATCGACGACTTCACTGCAGCTATTAGCCAGTGGAACAACAATAACTCCGGCAGTTATCAGTTCAGTGTTTCATGTAACTCCAGCGAGTACATGATTACCGGTAATTTTTTTCCCAGTCAAGAAAGACCGTTTTGAGGTTATGTTCTATATTTTAACGGAGTTTATTAGACGGGGCCGGTACTGTGTTCTGTCAGTAAAAACTAAAACAAAAAAAGGTTTCGTTCGCAACTTAAGTACTTACTGTAGCTATTAGCCAGTTATATGCAGTGACTCCAATAACCGCTTTTCAGTAATGGAGTTAAGTGGCAATGACTTTCGAGTAGCAGTGATCCAATCACTGTTATCAGTGTATGGCTCATCGCTAGAAATTAACTTTTACGTCGCCGAGCAGAACACCGCCATATAGATCGTACCATCAACTTTATGGTAGGTATAATGGCAGGCTGTTATGAGTACAGTAATGAATATTGAGGTTTCTTAAAAGAAAAGAATTACTTGAGCATCTTAGTATGTATCAGTTTCTAAAGGAAGACTTTACGCCATGAACTTCGTTACTGATCCAGTTAGCAGTATTTTCATATGTAAATCAGAGACTCTTACAGTGTATGACGACTTTCCAATAAAACAAAGTGAACTAAATAAAAATATACAGAAAATTAAAAACGTAACTGATTTAATTTAGTTACAAAAGTCTATTTTTTACAAAGAGAGATGACTAGCGCTTTCAGCGTCTTGTTTTATTTTGCTCCTCTGTTCTTATCGAATAAGTTTTTCTACGTGTGTCGTTAAATAGGTCTGATGTTGTAGTTCTTTACGTCGCTGTTCAGAGGCCAACTGTTCTTCGTTTGTCAACTTTCTACGTCCAGCCCCACCCTTGCAAATCTTCGTCTTAAAATCGATCATAATAGTTTTCATAATCGTAATATATCGAATAAGTATCACTTTACCTTGTTGGTGTTGGTAATTCAAATACTTGATAACTTCTTTTTTCACTTTTCTGATATTTTAGGCCAACTGTCAATCAATTTTTAATAATGCGACGTGCCGCTTATAGAGCAGTGATAATGCGACTGGCTTGGTAGTGCAGCATTATTTGTTTACTCGGCATTGTTGTGTTCCTCAACAATGCCGAGTAAACAAATATCTGTTGACATTGTTGATGACGTCATTTCTTGAAGAAAACGAGGAATCACAAATTTTTTTGTCTAGAAAGTAAAACACTGTAGAATGTAATAGCTACATAAAATATAAAACTGCAGGAGACATATCTGGTGTTAGTACATTGTATTCTCTTTCTCCACAGTGAAGTGCAGTTGACATGTCATCAAGAAGAGTTTGTTTTAGGCGGTTCACTGCCCAGAGAATTTCGCATTGGTGACGTAAGTCCAGTAGATTGTAGTGGAAGGGCTGATTTTATTCACATGAGTAAAAAATCATATAAATGTGAGTTGTGTACTAAGGAGTTTAAGAAAATAGGGTGCTTTGTGCGCCACAAAGCTACTCACACTATCGAAGAATCATATGTCTGTGACTTTTGTAATAGAAGGTTTTCCAGAAAGGCATATCTCAAAGCACATATTCGAACTCATACTGGAGAAAAGCCCTATGGGTGTTTGAAATGCAGTAAGATTTTCTCAACTAGTTCTGCACTTAGTAGGCACACACATACACATCTTTACTCTCATGCTGAAGAAAAGTCCTACAAGTGTGAGGTGTGCAGTAAAATTTTTACAACTAGTTCTGCACTTTATGGCCACACCCGAATACATTCAATATGGAGTATTCAAAGTTGAACTATTTTTTTTTTAGAATTTTATATATATTGTACACAGTTAATGAATGACAAAGTATTTACGTATATTTGTACTAGGTGGTCAAAAGCTATTTATGTGATTGAACAGGATTGAATTGAAGTCCTTATAGTAATAAACCCTGTAACCCATGTGCAAACTTATTACAGTTTCAAAATGAATATATTATTTTCTTCACCTAAATAAAGTATAAGTAAAGAAGCAAGTAACTTTGAGCCAGATATTAGTATAGCATTATAACATAGTTAATGAGTAATGAATAATAAATTTATTCAATATATTGAATGCAACAACTTTCTGATATTGTATCAGTGAACTTGAGTTTCTGGCATTTACTAACATCACATTGTCTACTGCCAAGTTTCTCACAAATTTCAAATTAGAATCCACACAGATAAATAATGTGTACGCTGACTAACCAACCAAGGAATAATGAAGAGGGCTGTGTTTTCTGGTTGATAATGACTGACATTTCAGAGGCTACCTTGATGAAGGCAGTAAGTACCTCTTAATTGTGGTTCGGTATTAGCACAACATCCCAGAGGACAGCGACAGTCTGTGAGAGTCTGAAATAAAAACCAAGGAACAGCTTCGCGGTACAGTGATCGTGTGCACCCGCAGCTGAATTTCAGCATTACACAGGTTTTGATTTATTTATTGGTCCAATCCATAATCCAAAATTGTTTGACGTACATGCGACTGGTCACTGTAATGTGTAGTTTCACCCCGAACTAACATATACTGTTACCAGATTTGGATTTCACAACCAGAAAAAATTGATAATGGATCAGTTTTATAATCATTACAGGGGGGGCTGTTGATGAGAATGAATACCATCTCTTTTCCCCTTCTGAATTCTCATTGTCTTTTTCCTCTTCACCACTCTCATACACACTTCTTTTGTTTGTACCCTTCTGTTTCCTCTCATAACCCCTTTCCCACATCCCTTTTTTCATTTGCTCCAAATCTTTCAATAACCTTCACCATTCTGTGCTGTCTGTGTTCTGCGAAGTGTAACACACGCTTCATGAATCAGCTAAAAGATATTCTGTACCATGCTTACAGAAGTGGAAAATATTTAAACCAGAGAGAATGGTGTACCATTTTATTGTTTCATGTTCGGTGCTGTGTGCTGCACGTCTTCACCTTCATTATTGTCCAGTGTTCAGTGGTAAAGTAAAAATTAAGGTAAGTTGGTATTCTTCATTTGGCAATTAGGTTGAGGTTATGATGCTGAAAGATTATATGGAATGTGACAAGACAGCAAAATCATCACATCTATTAAGAAGCAAATCCAGAATACAGGACTGAATATTTTTTCGTTAACGGTTTTACATGAAGGTAATTAATTTATTTTTGCGTAGACGTGGATTTTTATTTTGAAAGTGACGTAATTCTTTATTTTGGTTTGTGTCCACCTTATGCTGCCATCTATGTGGTATAAATTAGTACTAAAATTCGTTTTACTTCGAACGATTGAAATGTCACGTTTCTGCAATTTGCAAATTCTTTATTTCATAGTTTGTTGTTAAGCTGGTAGTCGTTTATATAGTCGTCCTTTGACAAATTAACAACTAAAATTGTAAACTTAGGGCTAAGGGTATATAATTCTTTGTGTAAATGTTTCGCGTGATAGTTTTAGATCTAAATAAGTTTTCTATGTTAAGTGCCATGTTTTTTTGGGACGATGGTTTAAAAAATTCACACCAGGATCGTGAGTGGAGGCCTGCATCTCCGAATTTAATACGAGTATTTTGAGTATTTTTTGGTAATGAAGCATGCTGATAGACGAGCACTAATGTGCGTGCGATTTATATTAAAACTAATAAATTACCCGCAAAGAATGATGGGAGAATCTGAAGTAGTGAACACGCAGTGTTAATATTATCTCATAAAGCTTAAAATCATTTTCAGCTTTAAATGTTATTCCATAAGGCACAAAATCCCCTGACAGCAAATGGACATCAATCAACCTAGCTGATAAAAATTGTATTTGAGTTTCTTAGGACAGTGGCTGCATTCTCAAGTGGGACTGTACTGACAAGCCACGCAGTGTTTCTCTTTGCTGACTCTTCGTAACCACATACCATGCAAAGAATATCTCGTCTTTGCTGACGTATCCCCCCCACTCCTCAGAGTCGGTGCAATCGAGCATTACTAGTCACGTGATGAGTGGTAGCTGCTTACGTGACGGAGGGAGACTGTCAAATGTCAGCGTGTGACAGCTCATTTAAATAATTCGGAAATTGCCTTAGTCTTACCGTATTCCGTTTACAAATTTGATCTTTTCGTGTTTATATTGAAGACAAAGTGTTTATTTAAGTGAACCCAGGGCATTGAAGCTTCTATCTGGATTATTCGGTAAGTTATGATTTTTATGGTTACACGAAGAATGTAAGATTACATAATTTGGTGGAATTATTGATAGCATTAAGCTCGTAATGTCTTGTACCAAATACTCGGAGACTGTACACAATTGTGTTTTACTTACAATAGAGCTATTTTTGTGAATGTATAAATATAGTACGCTCAGTTAGTCAAATCCCACGTTAATTTAACTTTGCTCCTTAGACGAATGAGTCAGATTATCTGGTGAATGTTTTAATTAGTCAATCAGACCGTCACATAATTAGTAAATTATTTTAATCAGATATTTAATTCGCTAGTTAATCAGTGATTAGCTAATAAAATAGTTTATTTTCTAGTAGTTCAGAAGTCTCCACAGAAAGATTATCGCTGATAATCTGAAGCTCCGATTTACGAATTAATTCGTGCTCTGTCCTCACCCCTCGTCTGTTTGTAGTGAGCGAGGTGGGGGGTGGACTGTGAGCAGACAGGGTGGCTAACTCTTAATTTACCGAGATTAAGTGAAATGAAGGCTCTGTCCCATGTGGGCCGCGTGGTTTTACTCAATTAGCAAACTCCTCTCTTCCTTTTGAAAGTATAATTTTTAATTAAAAGAAAGACAATCAGGCGCGCTATACAACCCTGCCTTACTAATAAGGTGGGTGAGCTAGAAGTCTTCCAACCTGTGGTTCGCGCATCAAGCTTTGCACCCTTAAATGGAGATACGCAATGGGCTTTTCTTTATTTAACGACACTTGTTTAGCTACACAGGGTTAATGACTGATGAACTTTGAAGGAAACATCGTAAACTACCCCAAGGGACTAAACTACCTAAGTAACTGGTCTTTTGGTAGCACAACCTGAAGGTTCAACCCCGCTAATACCAAATCCCGCTATTGGACACGATCCCGAGCCAGTTTAATCCATAACCTTAGAACCTGTTCGCCTAAGATCCGTCTGAATCCATGACCGCGTACATAAAGACGTAAATGGGAGAATAATATTACAGGTATCTTAAAGAAGCTGTAAGTTTCGTAAATCCGAGAAATATCTTGATCTCGCGGCCCCCCATTTGAAAACCCTCGCCGTATTGTAGTGTTTCTGTACCAGTTTCGTTACTGCCAAGTCTTGTTTGTTTTTTTGGTGCTGTGACTAAGCCAGTTTCGTTACTGCCAAGTCTTGTTTTTCTTTGGTGCAGTTGCGAAGATGTCGAGACGAATTTTATCCTTGGCTAACGTGATGTAGGAGGGGAGTGTGGTGACGTTAGCGATAATGAGCGCTATTTGTCGAGTTGAACGTAACCTCTACGTTATATATTCTTAATTTGTGTTTTATTCTACGTAATTTATATTTCAGACTCGCCTTGCAATTCGTTTTAATTCTCATTCAACATTTTTATTCTCTTTAGTTCGTAAGAGAGCTATTTTTCTTTTGTGAAGAAGATACCTCACTTCTTGGTTACTTTAAGTAAGACCGCATTCATAATTTAAAACTGGAGTTAGCTTCTGCACAAAGCCAAATTCAATTACTGAAACAAAAACCAATCGAATTCGGTAGTTGCGTGTCTACACGACAGAGGTCGCACATGCTATTTCTCGATAGTTTAAAAAGGTAATGACTTACGAGATAAATCAAACAGTTGATTTGGCTTTGTAGATGCCATGAACAATGACATCTGGTCTCAATAATAATCGATGTTTAATAAGATGATAAGATAAGATGTAAAAAAAGTTATGTTCTAATGTAAATCGAACATTTCGATAGAGAATATCATTTAATATATTTTAAATATTTAAATGTTAATTATGGTAATATTTTAATATTTTTAATAGGAATTTTATTGTGATTAGACTTACAAGATTTAAACAAATAGATGTTTAATAAGTTGTCCAAAAATTGAAATTATAAATGGGTCTTTTCATCATCTGAATACATTGACACCCAGGAATCGAACCACACTATCCAGCATCTTTACTGACAATATGGGGTTGATGCAGCGTCTCTAAACAGGGTGTGGTGGCACAATCCGTTTGCGAAGGCTTGAATGTGAGTGGAATTAATGCTAAAGAACTGTGGTAAAAATGAGAATTCTGGATAGGACGACTTCAAGGCATCCATTATTCATAAGACTGGAGCGAAATGTTGGGGGCTGTTGATAATTAAACGCCCTCTTCCCCCCCTTGTATCGAGTGTCCCCTCCTCTCAAATAAATTATAAGAGACTTGGCTTGAAACATCTTTACCACCGCCTCCTTGATCTCGTCACAGTTGATACACAGCGACTTGTATCTTCAGCGTACAAAACTTTTAGGTTATGTAACGTGAAATGTATTGTCATGAAGGAACTTGCTGCGTTCTTGTTCGCGGTATAAGTAATTGAACCGACTTCGAACCTCAAGTCGCTTATGTGGCATTTTCCATTCATGAAACATTTGAACCAATGGACGGGAATTAAGTACAGGTGATTATATTACGACGATGTATCAACTGCGAAGGTGTGTTCCATTCATAAGCTTTGAACTAGGTGACGGGATTAGAGTTTAAATGTTTGGCTGTGTCATGACGATGTATTTACTACGGTGGTTATGTAATGTAGAATGATATATGGTAAGGTGATTATGAATGATGAATAATGAAGCTTATGGGAGAAATTGGTTGTGACGTAGAGATTTCATTATCCAGCTTATCAGGTGTATTATAAGTTACTGTTATGTGAGGAAGTTAGGAGGAGACTAAATTCCGGAAATGCTTGCAACTTCTCAGTCCAAGATATTTTGTTTTCCCGTCTGATTTCTAAGAACCTGAAAATTAAAGTATACAAAACAATAATCT